TGAAGTGGAAAGTCGGGGGTAGTTGATAGACAAGTGGATGTCTAGAAACGGAAGAGTGGTGGAAGATATGTGAACTGTATATTTGAGGGACGGGTGGAAGTTGGTGAAATGGTGCAGGAAGAACTCGAGCTGATCGTTGGAGCATGTGGCGGCACCGACGCAATCATCAATATATCGTTTGTAGAGGTCAGGGACAACATAGATTTATCAACATAGGGTCAACATAGATTTATCTTATGTTGCCATTATCAGTTAAAGGAAAGTAGCTTGGCTGACTTAGTCATGAAATTCTAGGGGCCTCTGTTCAGTTCCATGAACAGGTTCAAGTGAGACGGATAAAATAATTAAAATGAACTTTAAAAAGATACCCAAGCTCATTAAAATTTACTCAACTGTAAATAAGACAATGACATAATCGAAGTCAGTAAGAGTAAGACACTACTGGCTTTTGCTGCTGTAAGTTTTTAGAGGATAAGAAGTAGGTCATTCATCAGGTATACCTAACATCTCAAGATACAACTTAAAGTATTCTCTAGTTCTCTTTACAGGTTAGATGTCATAACACACTGCTCATCCTGAGTCCGGCTCTTTCAAAATGTCACTGCACTGCAAGAATATTTCTCAGTTTAAAGAGGTCCGAAAAAACAACCATAGATACTGTACACGTGTATACCCATATCAGTCGATGCAATTCAGTTGTTCTGGTCACTTTTTGAGCTTCATGCAGTGATATCACATTCTCCAGGTCAGTAATGCTCTTTCATATACCAAGAGCATGTGTACATTTTGTAGTGAAAGCCTTTAAGAAGAGTCAAACAAAGTTCAAAGTAACTTGGGTAAATATTTAAATAAAATGTATGTGGGCTTCAAGATTAATTTCTTTATTTTCATCCTAAAGCATATTGTAACAGGCTCCATAGGCTTTAGGTTTGTGCATTAAATCATTCATTACTAGAAATAACTGGATGGGGAAAAAAAATTAATCGCCATTCAATTATTCAGAATGTCACTGATGCTGTTCTGCTTTTTCAGTCATACGCACAGCTAGTTTCATATCTAAGAGTCAAAAAAGGAATCTGTTCTCTGTCAGTTACTATTTTGTACATTATTATTAACATCAGGAAATCCTAATTTCAAAGGTGAATGTGGATAACTGCTCACATGTGCTACAACTAGGACGATTTATATTGTGCTCATTTAATAATAACATTACAAAAAAAGAAATGAGAATTATTTTCAAAGGTTTGTAATAGGGTTCTGATCTTTCTAATATGGACATTTTCCATTTGTAAAGTGTAAAGTACTTGTAAAGTACTGTAAAGTGAACTGTCATGCTCTGCTTTTAGTTTGTCTTCTAATTTTATACATCCCCAAGACCTTGAAAAGCATTATCCAAGCACACTACCACAGGACAAGTGCAGACTTCATTACAGAATATTAAGAACAGGGCTATCGGGTTTGCACATCATTCATATTTAGTAGAATAAGAACAGGGACAGCAGGTTCTGGACTTGTAACTGGAAGTTTGTGGCTGGCACTGCAATTGTACACCTGTTGTTCATTTTTAAAGTGAAAGACAGCTATTCAGAAATTTGTCACTGTATGCCACGGCTTTTTTGATCAACTGAAAGAATCCAATTAAGCAGTTCCATCTGCTACTCTTCTTAAGCTTGTAAAAGTATATTTAAAAATGCCCATCACTTAGAGGTAAGCTCTCTGAATAATGCACAACAATCTAAGATTTTCCTCCTATCTTAACCAGTGACAACAGTCTAAAATTTAGTACTAATTACATCTTTTAAAAGAAAAAAATATGGAAAACAGAGGCAGATGCTGCATTTTCAAATCATTAAGGAGTTTCTAGGCAACCTCCAAAGACCTCCTGCTTAGTGTGCTATCAGTGCAGCCAAGCACATAGTCACACACACAACCGCACAACTTGCTTAGGCAATTGTAGCACATACTTTTTTCTCCATGAAAACCATCGCTCACCCAAAAAAGAATCAGGCTGGATACTTATATAGAAACAAAAGCTCTTTGAGTTCCTTTCAACTTTTTTGTCCGTTATCTTTTGTAAATATTGACAAGAGATTAAAAATAAAGACCAGTAATTCCCTTTTTGAAAAGAATGGACTAGGGTGAGAAAAGGGAAATTTCGACAAGGGAGGGAGATGCTGAAGGTCGTGGTGGTGGTGGTGGTGGTGGGGGGGTCACAATGCTCTGGCAGCTGAGCCCTGGAGTCCTTGAGGAAAGTCAAGGCATCTCACCTTCCAGCGAGGAATGCAGTCACTGGGCTTCCAGTGCCCCCCTGGCAGGAGATTAGGGTCCTCATGCAGCCACTGCTCCACCTCCTCCAGTGCTATCTCGCTCATGTTCACATCCACAGCGCCCTCTGAGACACAGACACACACACGGGCAGGAGAGGTCAGCATCAGATTCACACGCCCTCTGGACATTCTTACATTTCTTGACTATGGAGAACTGAGAAGAAGAAATGAGCCCAGTCACAGGCATACAGTATACACCATGACTACTAATAAGGCCACACAGGGATGACAGCTAATATTTGTGAAGTTATATGACATAGGGCTCACTAGTCCTTAACTTTCTCAGGATTTCAAACCCTTGACCTGGACTATTGGCTTGAAAAGATGTTCATTTAACCAATTTCAGATTTAACAATGTTACTGGGGATTGAAATTCACACTCATCCAGGCTGCTCATACTGTAAGTGAACAGATTTCTGGAATGTAAGCAATCGAGCCCACAAATCATTAATGATGCTTATTATGGAAGTGTTTTGTATATTTTACCAATGTCTCTCTGGATCACAGACTACTAACCTACAAACAGGTGTTAGGCATGGGGAGAGCACGTTTATTAAACTAGTTGAGGACAGAAAGATCAAAGTTCTATTGGGTACATCTCATCTTATTTGCCAAACGGCTTTATACCATACAGTGTCGCGGGAAGCTGGAGCCTACCAGACAAGCAAAGATCGCAAGGCAGGGTAGACCCAGTCAGAACAGTCAAAAAGGGTTACTGATTTAGTAAAGAAATAGTGCCGGGATTTTGCAACATTGACACTCACTCATTGAGGGGAGTCTTTCCGGACATGTCTCATTGGGATGATATGTAAAGCCCTCTGGTAGGAAAGTTGTAGTTTGGATGTATGGGTCACTGATGTTAAAGTCATAAGGATAATCTGTACAGAGGAATAAATAAACTATAAGTACTTTTTAAACCAAGACAAAAGGCACATTGGAAGAGATCCCATTGCACATAAAACTTAGCATTCAGTAGAGATATTTTTATTAAAAAGTTATACAAACCCTTCTTAATGTTCAAAGGAAAAATAAAAATGGCAAATAGTTGTATAATTTTAAAACTGTACTTAAATATATAATAAAATATTCAGATGGTCAATACATATTGGTGTTAAAAGGCATGCTCTAAAACACTCTTCATCTATGTCCTTGTTACCACACAGGATGCCCATTTCCTCTTTAACAGTTTTTGGTGTTAATTGCCACAGTGTAAGTTCCTCAGTTAACATCATTTGCAACAAAATCTTTAGTTGACAGAAGTATGCATGGCCCATTTCAGCCTTTACACAGTGTGCTACTATTACATGACTGGAAAACACATAAGCCATCAGTTTTCTCATTAGTGAAAAGTACTTCTTTCGTGCTTAGAAACCAACGCTTCAATTACAGAAAAAGAACACCTGTACAAAGTGCAGTACATGCTGAAAACCAGCCCATCTAAAATGAGTATCTTTCTATATGTCTTTAAGAGACTTTTGAACCTGTTTAAGCAAAAGCTAGGTACTGTAATTATGACTACATACTATGGACAATTTTTATTTTTAAATTAAGGAGGGCATTGTGGAATTTATAAATTAACTTAAATTAAATTAATTTATTAATTACTGTAAGGTCAAACAGCAGCTATATTGTGAAAATAGGACCCCAGAGAGCACTGAAAATTGGTGGACATGAAAGAGACCTCAGGGAACATGACTGCATACACCAAAGCAGCCATTCCAGCACTGGACCTTATCATTTCTGTTTGTCTTTAAGTCACCAACCAGTTTATGACTGTGGAAGAGGAAGACTGGGTTATTTACAATTTATGAAGACTAAGAAGTCCTTAGGGTCCAGAGTCCCACAGGTTTAAAGCTGGGAACCCCAGCTCTAGAGGGCAATAACATCAGGGGATCCCCCCATTGACCAAGAAGTATATTTCTGAGGTAAAAATCCAGGTGGCCAATGCCGATATCAGTACTCTGTGGTGTTTCTCATCTTTCACCATGGGGAATGTGTTCCCTATGATCCTATTGTGTGGGATTTCGTTATGTAAACAGATCATTCCTCCATTATCAACTAACAGTATGAACACCCTGACCAAAGACTTACCTGTGCCATTGAAGGTGCTATAAGCCCCACGGACTACCTGCTCATAAACTTGAGCTCCAATTGTCCTCATGTTCTCTCGGAACTGGATTCCCCGAGCTTGGACCATGAACAAGTACTCATTCACTGAAAGAAAGAAAAGGAGGAGTGAGTACTGTTACAGCACTACTGTATATGGAACATATGCAGTTATGCCCTCAAATCATACTACAATTAATAATCTTCCATTATGGCTAATATACCAAATACAGTACACAGAGAAGGATGACAGCTCTTGCATTTCCTTAATTCACATTAGCCTGGACAATATCTCTTTTAGGAAGTTTATGGTCCCAATATAACATTGTACAAAATGTTCCACAATTAAAACTATTGTTACTGATAGAGGTGGTCAACATCTAGCTAATGTCAACATTAGCAGCTCTGGGGATTTTCAATGCAAAAGAGGAATTGAGCTGTGCACCCTGTTGTAGAGTGTCTGAAACACATTGATCAAAGGAATCATATGGTTTACCCGGGTTATTTATGTTCTTGGTAAATCATTAAGAGTCATCAAAAGTCCAGGTACACAAGATGTAACAACAGAGGAGAAAAGGGACAGACAGATGGACCCAAGGAGGGAGAACGGACAGTGCCAGGTGGAAGGTCCTTGTCCCGATCGGGCTTTAATACCAGATTCAAGTATTTGAACCTTGTTAACAGAGCCATTCTGTTGTTTTAGAAAACATTGGTTTCCTGTATAGATAATCCATAGGTTAAAAACGGTCTCTCCTGGTTAGTGAATGCATTTTTAGAATTGGGTGATAGGTTTCCCATTTACTTTGTAGCATTTGGATTTATAGAGAGATTTAATTGTAGACTGAAATCTGTTTGGTTTAGAAGGCAGTTTTTTTGCCTGTTTTGGTATTACATACTTTACAGTAGGATTTGAATACTAAGTAGCAGTCTGGGGCTTTTTTTTGCTTATCCAGGATGTTGGCCTCTAAGATGCCTTGTTTGTAAATAGAGTAACTTGGATGCTGTATTTTGTGTTGTGTGTTCCTTATGTGTGTTATTGTCATAATTACAAAATACATATTTAACCCAGTGTGCCTGATTTATTACTCTATCTCCAAACCTGTGCCAGAGAACAAAGATCTCAGGTGCCTTTAATTATACCATTCGCTCGGGTATATTCTTAGCATATCTTTACAATTTGTGGGTTATGATTATTTAATTACTGATTAATCCACTCAGTCTATTTTCTGTGATTCTTTATTTTCATAACCTCCTATTTGTAACAGTATTTATCATAAAAGTGTTTTGTCACCACATGGTGGTTATTTAACATGTCTTACAGCACATTTTTTTATATGCAATGTAATCACTAAGTTAACAAGAAGCCAACAAACACCACAAAAGAGATACTGGAGTTTATTTTAGTAGACAGTTCTGTAGTGGGTCTCAAGTGTTTTTTCTTGGACTACAAAACCAAAAGAGTTTACCCCAATACTTCCTTCGGAAAATAAAGGTACACTCTATGGCCTCCAATTGGGAAAAAACAGCAGACACAGGGGTATTCCAGGATTGAGAACCATTGGACTAAACCACTATAATGTCCTTCTCTTGTCTGAAGTCAGTGAAGAAACAGACTCACTGAAACATGTTGGACTGCTACAGGAAAGACAACAGGACAGTGGCACTTTGCTGCCACTCCTAACGAAATACCAAGAAAAAGACATCACACTACACAGAATAATAGAAGTAAGCAGTAAAATTTCCCTCAGTGTTTCCAACTCATCAGGATGAAGGTCTATGCACCTTCATTTGTTCAGCACACTCTCCCACCCCACCAACACCACCCAACATTCACTTACTATCACCATGACAGGTGATATGCTTTTAAACAAATGTACTGACGCTAAGGTAGCACTTAACCTCGCCAGCCTCTATAATCTACACTCAGAAATCTATCAGTTCTCAGAAAGCCTTCCCCACCATCATATTCTAGTCAGCTTCAAACCTCCTTTCTGACTTCTTGCTCTTAACTTCATTTAAACCTTTGGTCAATTCAAAGAATGTCAGCCTGGAAACACAAGTGTCAGCTGTAAATGTTTTAACTTTTCCTGTTTCACTGTGGGATAATTTGGCTCAGGCCTACATACAGTAGTTTTGACTCTCCTTAACTGTGGTGAATTTTATACGAGAACTCCCTCACTTTTTATTCAGGCCTATATTCAAGGTTTTTGAAGGTCTGGAATTGTAATGAATCTCACCATTGCAAAAAAAAAAATTACACCTTTAACATCTTCTCCCTTCAAGCCAGCCTGTTAATTAGTCATAAAGTCGTCACTGCTTGTCTCAGATAATAGTGCCAGGACTATGGACTCCAAAGTGATGTGTCTTTTTATCTGAAAAATTTACATCAGTCATAATATATTCTCAACTTTACTGCTCTGACATCTCTATTCAACAAGCACAGCTGACAGGAGATAATGAACCTTTTCAGGAAATTAATTTTTTAGTATGGAAAACTACCATGGGGATTGTAGACAAGGAACAGATAGGGTGTTGCTTTAATCATTCCAAAGATTATGTGTGTGCTTCAATATGTGACTTATGCAAGTTGTGCTTCCTTGAGTTTCTCTGATTGGAATAATGACAAAGCACTAAATAAATCTAATTTTGCTAAGCAATAATACCAGAGTTTTACTTCAATGTTCAATCAGGTCCCAATAAAAAAATCAAACACATGTACATATTCAAAAAATGAACAAGCTTATTAATGTATTCTAAGGTAGCATTACATTTATTGTTATTTTTCTTTGTCATTACCAACAGAGGGATATAGGCTGTAAGGTGTCAGGAAAACTGACACTTGAACAGCTCTTTAGTGACCATTTCAGTCTACTCGAAATGAGTAAAAACATCTGCACACCTGATAAAACTGTTGGGTGTGAAACAGATTGATATTAAAAATGAGAAAGTCAAAGTTGTGCCCTCTATGATACAAATTTCAATTTATTTTCAGTTCATGGATTACTTCTAGAAACTGCATCAGAACATGTTCCAATGAAGGCTGTAAGAATGAAACCTTTTTTCAGCCACAGATTTAATAACAGTCTTCAAGAGCACATTTTTAGTTCAAGTGAAAACACTAGATAGTACAAAACAGAATATCAGTATAAAAAAAGATACTGGCTAGCATGCTGATACAGTAGCTTTTCTAATGCCAAAGTGAGCTTTGCTTCTGTTCTACCAAATAAATAAGTAAAGATGCAGCTGCGCTTTGGATCAATTTCCACAAATAAGGATTGATGGAACTGAAATCTAGTAAATTTCCTCCTTCCTCATTCCTCAGTTCTGACAATTACAGTATCTTTCATTCTGAATGTAAAGGGTGGGCCAATTCTTTCTTCCCAACTCTACTATAATTATAGCTAAACAAATCTTACTTCAGAGTTTTCACATTCTGTAACATACAAACCCGGTCTAGAAGATCAAACTACATGTTCAGTATCTACTGTTTTGAGCAGTAGTGAAAGCAGTAGCCTTTTTGTCATTAAAATCTGTTATTAGAAGTCCCTAGGGATTTTTTTCCAATCAATCTACAATTTTATCTAGTAGTAAAAAGTAAAAAGTTAAAAGAGTTAGTAGGTCTAGAACAGCCAGATCTCATGTGAGAGAATTATGTTTTCCTTTATGGCCGGGCATTTTTTTTAATTCAAAAGTCACAAGTTACAATTTGTAGCTAGGAGACCATAGCCTGTCCTCCGTGAAGGCCCCTGTAAACTTTCATTTGTCCAGTGATACACAGTATATTGCAATTATAGGTTATGACTAGAATGCAGTTTTAATCTTCACATGAAAGTGACTAGACTCAAAACTTATCACGTCTGCAAAATATTGTATCAATCTAAATGTAAGGTCAGTATAAGCTCCCTCCATCTGTAATTCACTAGAACATATCCCAGAACAAATGCATGATGAATAAACTCTAAAATGCCAATGACTAACATCCATGGTCTAGCAAGAAATATTACATTTAATAAAACTACATTTATCAAACGGCTACACATCTGTTCACAACTGTACTACAGTACGACCTCTTAAAGAAAACCTGTTCTAAGGCAAAAATACTACTGTATAAACCCAGGTGCAGCTAATGACACTTTGCTACAGCTAATGACACTTTGCTAAAACAATTATGTGGTTTCTCTTTGTGAAGTGCAGGTAATAATTAAGCTTAATGGGCAACGGAAAACATACATTAATCATTCAAAGACTTTTAAGATACTGTACAATGCAAGAAACCTCCTTCCTATCAGGTTCATGCTATAAAGTCAGAAATGCACTAAGTAAATTTACTGTATAAAATTTTCCAACTGTTTTTTGTATATCCCGAGGCGGTGTATACAATAAAATATTTGACTAATACACATTATGTAGCTTTTTTCTTTAATAATGAATCACAGTCAACCACTCCAGTACTATAAGATTAAGTAATCTGGACAGGAGTGATTAATCTGTCTTTAAGACATTTCCTTTCTATCCAGCTTGCTTCTGGGGTTCTCTTCAACACGCGCTTAAATACTCTTAATACTTCACAAGTGGAAAAAGAGAAAACGCTCTATCCTCCCTTTCCCTGAATTAACCACATGCACAGTCAGATAAAATGCTGATTTTGAGGGAGAGAAATGCTGATCAGAGTTACACTGAAGGGGGATGGCAGTTTAATTGCCACAATCTAGCAGTAAGGCAGTTTACTGAGTAAGGCCTGCAGACCAATGGCCGTTAAGTTCAAAGTACTGTAGGTCCTTTGAACCTACAGTTCCTGCAGAACCTGCAGTAAGTTGATTTAATCTTTTTAGCCTGCATTTTCAGAACAATTCGCAATCAATTATTTAATGAACTAGCAAATGCATTCAATGGTAAAGTACTTATGCAGAGTAAGCACAATCTCAAAGCACTTTCCAAATAAATGTTCAGAAAGTTCAAAGACACCGGAGTGTGAAAATTTTCATTAGTGAAACATAGAAACATCAACAAGAGGTCACAAGAGTAAAGTACTGTAAGTGTACATGCATTTAAATCATCAAGATCAGAAAGCAGTTCTTTACACAGCAGGATAGTGGAAGTATGGAACA